AACTGGTCGGGCTCCGGTTAAATAGCTGGTCGGGCTCCGGTTAAATAGCTGGTCGGGCTCCGGTTAAATAACTGGTCGGGCTCCGGGGGTGTAATTTGGGCTTTGGGTTGTGGATGGTTGTGCTTCAGAAGTTGTTTGTTCAGTGCCTTCATGCTAGGCTTGCGGTTACACAACTGGTCGTGCTCCGGTTACATAACTGGTCGGTCTCTGGGGGGTGTCACTATTGGGCTTTGGGTTGAGCATGTTCGAGCTTCGGTTCGTGCATGGTTGTGCTTCAGATGTTTTTTGTTCAGTTCGTGCATGGTTGTGCTTCAGATGTTTTTTGTTCGGTTCGGGCTGGCTGGTTCAGATGTTTTTTGTCAGGTTCGTGGGGGTTGTGCTTCAGATGTTTTTTGTTCGGTTGTGCATGGTTGTGCTTCAATGTTTTTTGTTCGGTTCGTGCATGGTTGTGCTTCAGATGTTTTTTGTTCGGTTCGTGCATGGTCGTGCTTCAGATGTTTTTTGTTCGGTTCGTGCATGGTTGTGCATCAGATGTTTTTTGTTCGGTTCGTGCATCGTTGTGCTTCAGATGTTTTTTGTTCGGTTCGTGCATGGTTGTGCGTCAAATGTTTTTTGTTCGGTTCGTGCATGGTTGTGCGTCAGATGTTTTTTGTTCGGTTCGTGCATGGTTGTGCGTCAGATGTTTTTTGTTCGGTTCGTGTGGTTGTGCGTCATGTTTTTTGTTCGGTTCGTGCATGGTTGTGCAACAGATGTTTTTTGTTCGGTTACCTGCATTATTATGCTACTCAGATGTTTTTTGTTCGGTTCATGCATGGTTGTGCTTCAGATCTTTTTTGTTTTTTCATGCCCGTTATGCTTCAAATGTTTTTTGTTCGGTTTGTGCATGGTTGTGCTTCAGATGTTTTTTGTTCGGTTTGTGCATGGTTGTGCTTCAGATGTTTTTTTGCCTAAATCGTGCATGGTTATGCGTAGATATTTTTTGTTCGGTTCATTCATACTAGGCTTGCGGTTACACAACTGGTCGGGGTCCGGTTACGCAACTGATCGGGCTCCGATTACACAACTGGTGGAGCTTTGGTTACACAACTGGTCGGGCTCCGGTTAAATAGCTGGTCGGGCTCCGGTTAAATAGCTGGTCGGGCTCCGGTTAAATAACTGGTCGGGCTCCGGGGGTGTAATTTGGGCTTTGGGTTGTGCATGGTTGTGCTTCAGAGGTTGTTTGTTCAGTTCCTTCATGCTAGGCTTGCGGTTACACAACTGGTCGGGCTCCGGTTACATAACTGGCCGGTCTCTGGGGGGTGTCACTAATTTGGCTTTGGGTTGAGCATGTTCGAGCTTCGGTTCGTGCATGGTTGTGCTTCAGATGTTTTTTGTTCGGTTCGTTCATGCTAGGCTTGCGGTTAAACAACTGGTCGGGCTCTGGTTAAATAACTGGTCGGGTTCTGGGGGTGTAATTTGGGCTTTGGGTTGTGCATGGTCGGTCTTCGGTTCGTGCATGGTTGTGCTTCATATGTTTTTTGTTCGGTTCGTTCATGGTTGTGCTTCAGATGTTTTTTGTTCGGTTCGTGCATGGTTGTGCGTCAGATGTTTTTTGTTCGGTTCGTGCATGGTTGTGCGTCAGATGTGTTTTGTTCGGTTCATGCATGGTTGGCTTCAGATGTTTTTTGTTCGGTTCTGGTCGGGGTCACAACTGGTTACACAACTGGTCGGGCTCCGATTACACAACTGGTGGAGCTTTGGTTACACAACTGGTCGGGCTCCGGTTAAATAGCTGGTCGGGCTCCGGTTAAATAACTGGTCGGGCTCTGGTTAAATAACTGGTCGGGCTCCGGGGGTGTAATTTGAGCTTTGGGTTGTGGATGGTTGTGCTTCAGAGGTTGTTTGTTCAGTTCCTTCATGCTAGGCTTGGGGTAACACAACTGGTCGGGCTCTGGTTACATAACTGGTCGGTCTCTGGGGGTGTCACTAATTGGGCTTTGGGTTGAGCATGTTCGAGCTTCGGTTCGTTCATGGTTGTGCTTCAGATGTTTTTTGTTCGGTTCGTGCATGGTTGTGCATCAGATGTTTTTTGTTCGGTTCGTGCATGGTCAGATGTTTTTTGTTCAGTTCGTGCATGGTTGTGCGTCAGATGTTTTTTGTTCGTTTCATTCATGCTAGGCTTGCGGTTACACAACTGGTCGGGGTCCGGTTACACAACTGGTCGGGCTCCGATTACACAACTGGTGGAGCTTTGGTTACACAACTGGTCGGGCTCCGGTTAAATAGCTGGTCGGGCTCCGGTTAAATAGCTGGTCGGGCTCCGGTTAAATAACTGGTCGGGCTCCGGTCGGTCCGGGGGTAATTTGAGCTTTGGGTTGTGCATGGTTGTGCTTCAGAGGTTGTTTGTTCAGTTCCTTCATGCTAGGCTTGGGGTAACACAACTGGTCGGGCTCTGGTTACATAACTGGTCGGTCTCTGGGGGTGTCACTAATTGGGCTTTGGGTTGAGCATGTTCGAGCTTCGGTTCGTTCATGGTTGTGCTTCAGATGTTTTTTGTTCGGTTCGTGCATGGTTGTGCATCAGATGTTTTTTGTTCGGTTCGTGCATGGTCAGATGTTTTTTGTTCAGTTCGTGCATGGTTGTGCGTCAGATGTTTTTTGTTCGTTTCATTCATGCTAGGCTTGCGGTTACACAACTGGTCGGGGTCCGGTTACACAACTGGTCGGGCTCCGATTACACAACTGGTGGAGCTCCGGTTAAATAGCTGGTCGGGCTCCGGTTAAATAGCTGGTCGGGCTCCGGTTAAATAGCTGGTCGGGCTCCGGTTAAACAACTGGTCGGGCTCCGGGGGTGTAACTGGTCGGGCTTTGGGTTAAATGGCTGTGCTTCAGGGCTCCGGTTCAGTTCCTTCATGCTAGGCTTGCGGTTACACAACTGGTCGTGCTCCGGTTACATAACTGGTCGGTCTCTGGGGGGTGTCACTATTGGGCTTTGGGTTGAGCATGTTCGAGCTTCGGTTCGTGCATGGTTGTGCTTCAGATGTTTTTTGTTCGGTTCGTTCATGGCTGTCCTTCAGATGTTTTTTGTTCGGTTCGTGCATGGTTGTGCTTCAGATGTTTTTTGTTCGGTTCGTGCATGGTTGTGCTTCAATGTTTTTTGTTCGGTTCGTGCATGGTTGTGCTTCAGATGTTTTTTGTTCGGTTCGTGCATGGTTGTGCTTCAGATGTTTTTTGTTCGGTTCGTGCATGGTTGTGCGTCAGATGTTTTTTGTTCGGTTCGAGCATCGTTGTGCTTCAGATGTTTTTTGTTCGGTTCGTGCATGGTTGTGCGTCAGATGTTTTTTGTTCGGTTCGTGCATGGTTGTGCGTCAGATGTTTTTTGTTCGGTTCGTGCATGGTTGTGCGTCAGATGTTTTTTGTTCGGTTCGTGCATGGTTGTGCGTCAGATGTTTTTTGTTCGGTTCGTGCATGGTTGTGCTTCAGATGTTTTTTGTTCGGTTCGTGCATGGTTGTGCTTCAGATCTTTTTTGTTCGGTTTGTTCATGGTTGTGCTTCAGATGTTTTTTGTTCAGTTCCTTCATGCTAGGCTTGCGGTTACACAACTGGTCGTGCTCCGGTTACATAACTTGTCGGTCTCTGGGGGTGTCACTATTGGGCTTTGGGTTGAGCATGTTCGAGCTTCGGTTCGTGCATGGTTGTGCTTCAGATGTTTTTTGTTCGGTTCGTGCATGGTTGTGCTCCAGATGTTTTTTGTTCGGTGCGTTCATGGTTGTGCTTCAGGTGTTTTTTGTTCGGTTCGTGCATGGTTGTGCTTCAGATCTTTTTTGTTCGGTTCGTTCATGGTTGTGCTTCAGATGTTTTTTGTTCGGTTCGTTCATGCTAGGCTTGCGGTTACACAACTGATCGGGTTCCGGTAGCGAAGAGTGACCTGGCGGTCACAGGTCAGCAGAGTTTCCACATTCAGTAATTCTCAAAGGTCAAATAGCCATTTTGTAATTGGGAATAGCTGTTCCCTAAGATGCTTGTGTAATTAACCTCAATTAAAATAATTCAACCAATCTGGATCATTCAGTGCAACAGAGGTTAGTTGTTAAACTTAAGCCTTGCAAGTAACTTAGACTAGGCGTAAGCATACAATGCTCTGGTCTGGGTAGAGAAGCATGTGGGAAGGACAGTGTGGGTTCCGGAGCAACACAGGGAAGGTGCCCACTCCACCTCTCCCCAAGACCTTACCACAAACATCTAGCTGGTCGCCAAAGGTAAAGTTTGCTCAGAGTTTTTGCTATAGGGAATAGGTCAACTCATTGCCGATATGGTCAAGTCAGGGAGTGAAGTGATTTAGATTTTGTTTAGTTTTTGAATAAACCATTTAGCTATTAAATTGCCTTTTTTTTATTAATTTCCATTTTGTGTAATTTATGTGAATTGGTCCTTACCACGTGGGTAGCCGGCGAGGCTGAGTTGAGTTGGGCGTAGATTCTACCACCGAATCAGAATTCATTATTCCCAGCTTTGATTTTTAATTCCGCACTTACGGATATTCAAGTTTATATGTTACTAGTGGGGATCAAGCCCCAAAATTTTATTGATTAGCATGATCGATCCAGACCTCGATCATTGCTCAGTGTTACTGGTCTGGTGGTGGCAGCAGAGGCGACTCTAGAGCTTTGCTAGAAGTCCGTTTCACGTCATACGGGTTGTAGAATCTTAAGTCGGTCAATCGTCTTAAGACCACGTGGCGTGGGGTTCGGCTCAAGTAAAAGTTTGGAGTCCCTTGGTATGGAGATTTAAATAAAATAGAATACGGGTACAAAGAGAGGGGTAGAGAGAAGAGAGAGTAGAGAGAAGAGATATATATAATATAAAATGTGTGTGTGTGTGCAGAAATAATATTAATAAAACAATTAACATCGTGTAGTGTACTCTATATATCAAAATATATTACTTTGAAACCCGTATCAGTCACTATAAATAAAAAATTGGGCTACTCTTATTACAAATTCGCTACTTTTAGAGCGTCAGCTCGCTACTTTCAGCAATTGGGATCTGGCAACCCTAGTGTACACAATAAGCGTATTGGGGAGCAGTGTCAAGAGTTGTTGAGGACTGTCACAGGCGTCAAGGTGTCACTGGCAGTGTCACGGCTGTCACAGGCGTCACGGGGGCAGTGAAGGCACTAGCGGGAGTCACTGTGACAGGGATCTGAGGGGGAGAAATAAGTTATATTCGGTGAAGTGAAGGTACGGACCCATCTTTTCGTGTCTTAGGAACTGGGCATGACGTCAGGGGGCACTGCTTGGGTAGGAACTGGGTATTTCACCGAGAGCACTGTGTGGTCAGGAGTTGGGTATTCTGGTAGGGGTACTGCTGTGCCAGGAGCTTGATATTCTGATAGTGGAAATTGATCAGAGACTGGATATTCCACTAGGGAAGCTGCTAGCTCAGGGACTGGATAGACTCAGGGAATCATTGTTAGAGAATGTGCAGTTCCTTGTTAACTGTGTTGTTCCCAGTAGCCAGTTCAGCTTCTTTTCCCACTAATTTTCTTTTGATTATGAGGTACGCTTCCCAGATCACCGCGTCCAGCCACTTGGACTGGACGGTCTTGCTTTGTGCAGGTCTGCGTTCAATCCCCCGACCGTCTTAAGTGGTTGGGCACCATTCCTTTCTCCCGTCCCATCTCGAATCCTTATCCTGACCCCTTCCAAGAGCTATATAGTCCTAATGGTTTGGCACTTTCCCCTGATTATTCCCTCCCCTCACAAATCACCGCCTCTTCCAGATGGTCAGCGGCAAGGCGTACGAGGATGGTTCGGCGCTCTCCACCGATCTTCCATAACTGGGTTTTCTTGGCTTTTATCCATCCCCTGAATGGGAGGCAGGTGGCTGATATTTTCTTGCATATTTGTGGGCTTGCTGTTGGAGTTCTTAGTGTTTGGTGTTAGCCAGGCCTCTTCCCTCTTGGTAGCTTTGCTTATTTTACTCTTATCATGATTTATGGAGCACTGCCTTACAGGTTGGTACACTAAGCACTGCCACTTGTGTTTCAACCTCAACTTCATGGTTTTTTCCCCTTCTTAAGCTAGACTGGGCTATTTTAATTTTGTTCTTGCCGATTCAAGGTGTGGTCTTTGATTTCTCATCTTTTCCTTGTTTAAGGGTGTCCCCATTCATTGGAGAATCTCACTTTCAAGGCAGCTATCTTATAGGCCTTAGCACTGAGGAATTGCATGAGGGAATTTCATTCTCTGCATTAGAGATAGTTGTCTGTTCCAGGCCTCTCTTCCTTCTTGGCCTTAAATTTGTCATGCTCTCAGTTCTGGTCCTATTTTGATGTAAGTGTTCATCATTCTTTGTTCTACAACACACACTATGTTCAGGCACAGCTGTTAAATAGTATTGTTGCAAATTTTGAGAAATGCAGATAAGGAATTTGGAAAGAAGACGGTGAGAATGCATATATCAGGAATGCAAAATTAGTGTTGACTCATTTCATGAATATTTCTGAAGTACATTTAATAATTTTTGACATAAGACTGTATCTCAATTATTGACTATATAGATATTGAGGTAAAATTTAGTTAATCATTTGAATATCAAAAAGCTTGTGTAAAGTAGCAGAATTGAGCTGTAGTAAGAGAGTCAATTTAGTGACCGTGAAGTTGACAGGGACAGGTATCCTGCCGGCATTTAAATTACCCTATTTTGTCTAGGCTATTTTGTTAAATTTCTAAATCAAGCATTGTTCTTGCTTCAGTTTTTTTTATCTCCATTGGTGAGTGAGTGTTGAATATAGGTAGTTTTTATATTCAGTATTCTCTAGTGTGTGTGTGTGTATACACACACACAACCGTATAATATCATTCATTATTGTATAATTATTATTTCATGTACCTAAGTAAATTATAAATAATCAAAATATTCAAGGTAGATTTCTTTTTTATTCAAATTTATTTCAGTGGTGGTAATGTATTCATACATGATTACATACTGTATTACTAAAATTAAGCCTTCTTAACTTGCAGCTTGCAGAGAGTTGAGGATCAGAATGTCGGGGAGAGTTCGCACACGAGTGGATCGAGGGACAGGAGAAGTTGTAGCATATAGTGATGCTGCTGTACGGAACAATTTTGCTGTCATTGAATACTGTCGTACCTCAATGGCTGCTTTGTCTGGGGCAACAGCAGGTTAGTGTCAGGTCCTCGCCACTATACAGTACTGTACTACACAAGTTAAGGTTGTTGAGAAAGTGATGTAGGATTTTGGTTTACAACACTTACTTTATAATGCTGTATGCTGTACTGGATACCGTGTTTTGTTATTAATTCTTAAAAGCATCATATTAAATTTGGGTATGTAGTACAGTACTGTACGAAATTACAAACTTCATAACTTTTATTTTTAATGTTATTCAATTATTATTACATATCATTACAGTATAAATTTTAGTTATGAGATCTCCATGTGGGAAGCTGCCTCTGGTATTTTTTCCTTTCTACAGTGTTAATTAATGGTTTGCTCAATCATTTTATGCTTGAAATTTATACGCTGACATAATGTAATGCATTTTGTGGTAGTAAATTTCTTTGAAGGTTATTTAATAAATTTTGTCCGATGAAAGGTTCTTTGTGGGTAATATTTCTATAGTGACTACTGTTCTGAATGGCTTGAGCTGTAAGCTAGCATCCCATCATAATAAAAATGATAGAACTCTGGCTTTAGTGCTGTTTGATGTTTTATACTTTTAAGGGAAGTTGAAAGATCAGAATGCATTTTCTGTTAATAAAGGGTTCCATCTCCAATATTCACACTTTCTATCTTCATTATTTTAGTCAGGGCTCTACTATTACAAGTCGTGTCATATTATCATTTATCATAAAATATGATTGCTGATTGGTTTGATCCATCATCAAATACGCCGTCAAGTTCAAGATCAGTCCTGGTTGATACCTGGTTGATGGGGTTGTGGGAGTTGTTCTACTTCCCAAGCCCGGCCCGAGGCCAAGCTTGACTTGTGAGAGTTTGGTCCACTAGGCTGTTGCTTGGAGCGGCCCGCAGGCCCACATACCCATCACAGCCCGGTTGGTCCGGTACTCCTTGGAGGAAACAATCTAGTTTCCTCTTAAAGATGTCCACGGTTGTTCTGGCAATATTTCTTATGCTTGTTGGGAGGTTGTTGAACAACTGAGGACCTCTGATGTTTATAGTGTTCTCCGATTGTGCCTATGGCACCCCTGCTCTTCACTGGTTCTATTCTGCATTTTCTTCCATATTGTTCATTCCAGTATGTTATTTTGCTGTGTAGATTTGGTACTTGGCCCTCCAGTATCTTCTACGTGTATATTATTTGATATATCTCTCGTTTTCTTTCTAGTGAGTACATTTGGAGGGCTTTGAGACGATCACAATAATTTAGGTGCTTTATCGCTTCACTTGTACGAATAGGTCCAATACTGGAGGTGGTTTTTGCTTTTGATTTTGCATATGTGAAGAAGTACAGTATTTTGGATTTTTCTTTATTTCCTGAATTGCTTTCTATTCTGCCTTTCTTCAGTTTGATATGAGTGTTTCAATTTCCGCTCGATTTCTTCAATCTCCCTATTTAAATTATTCCTTCTTTAACGGGAAAGTCATGTCTGCTTAAGCATTTCCGTTATTTTTTCCTTCTTTTATAGTGTCGTCTGCATTCTCTTTCTACGTTGGATCTCTCTCTGGCTTTCCTCAAAGGAACATGTTTCAGACAGACATGATTCACTTCCGAAGTCAGTTTTCTATTCCTTCTGTAGGACTTACAAACATTCCATGGGAAACTGTTCTAAGTTCCCTGTTTATTTTCTCCCAGTCTATCCTTTTATTTTTAAAATTGAATTTACTGAATAACCCCTCTCACTTGATCAGCGTTTTAGGTCTATTCTGAGTATTGATGGTCGTTTGCACTACAATGAGCTTGTGATCTGAGTATGTGGTATCTGATATCGTAATGTCCCTGATGTCTTCATTGTTCGTAAAGACCAGATCTAGAATATTTTCATTTCTCGTTGGCTCTGATATCTGCTGGTTGAGTGAAAATTTGTCACAGAATCTAAGTAGTTCTCTAATCTGTGGTTGGTTATATCCCAGTAGATTTCCTGGTATAATAATATTGTTTGCTATTCTCCATCTGAGACTAGGCAAGTTGAAGTCACCTAGGAAGATAATATCAGGTATCGGGTTCTCCAAATAATCAAGCCTATTCTCTATTTTATTTATCTGTTCAGTAAATTCCTCGGCCGTTGCATCTGGCGGTTTGTATATTAGAATAATCAATAAGTTTATTTTCTCTATTTTTAATCCCAGTACCTCTACCACCTCATTTGTAACATTAAGGAGCTCCGAGCATACAAAGTCATCCCTAATATACAGACCCACTCCTCCATGTGACCTAATTTTCCTATCACACCTGTATAGGTTACATCTTGGAATCCAGATCTCATTGTCCAAGAATTCCCCTGCATGGGTTTCTGTGAAAGTTCCAAATACTGCATTTGACTCCGTGAGGAGGCCATTTATGAACTGTACTTTGTTGTTTGTTCTTGTTTTTAGTCCTTGTATGATGGCAAAGATAAATGAGGTTACTCTATTAGAGATGGTTGGACTGGGAGACTTTTTCGGCAAGCCCAATATGCTTGGACATATTGAGTTTGTTCTGATCAGTGCTGATTGTTGTAGGGTAGTTGCCTGTCGTAGTTGTCGTTCCCTTTTGGTGTGTAATTGTATCTGTAATTCTGGTATGCAAGTGGGTCTGGCATCCAGTTCCATACACTCTCCATGCTCCTCCTTTTGAATTCTTTCTTTTTTTATAAAAAATGTATAGTTTTTCCTCCAAATTCATTATCCTGCTTGCCACTCTTTATGTAGCGTTCTGTGCCTTTCACATGAAAGTATAGGCAGCTGAGGTCATAGCATTTTCTGCCCTCTAGTGAGGTTTGGCACATGTCAGGATGGAAAAAAATACATATTGATCAAAATCGACACTCGCCTTTCCTAAGCATATTTAAACATTTTCTGGGATGTTAATAACTGCATTCTAATCCTTTCTTATTACCAGTGTATCTGTCTGCATATGCCCTTTGCATAAAATTTGCATAGGTCTGTTCTTCTGGTCTGTCCGAGTCTGAGAGAGAGTGTCCATATTTTATTTAATGATGATGTCTCATTTTATTTTGCTGCACCCTGTGTGGTTGATACAATACTGTATATCTAATACACATATTAATATTTTGTTCATTTTCTTTCAGGAATGCTTGGCTTGACAGGCCTGTATGGGTTCCTGTTCTTTTTGCTGGCCGGCATGGTGCTGTGGCTGATGCTGCTGTTGAAGGCGGGCTCCAAATGGCAGCAGTACTTTGTCAGCCGTCAGTCTCTCCTTACCAGTGGTCTTTTCTCTGGGCTCTTTACTTATATTTTATGCTGGACTTTCCTCTATGGGATGGTTCATGTATACTGAAATGGAATATTAAAAATTAAATGAGTTTGAATGTCATTGCTTAATTGATATCCTTGTTTAATTTTATTATGATAATGTTATATTTTATTATGGTGATGTTAAAAGTAAAACTAACAAATTATATTCTCTCATAACTGTTGTAGGTTAAACAAATCTCTGACATGTGAATAAAAATGTGATCAATTATTTAAGAGCTATTTATGCATGCCTTAAGTAATAAAAAGGTGTAAAGTGAAATCAATTGGTTATACAGTACCTGTTTGTGTTATTACCTGGTTTGGGTAGGATTTAAGATTTTCTAGTACTTGTCCTGTTGGAAGTAATTTATGATTCCCAGTGTCGAGGGAATTTTCATTTCATTGAGATCTCGAAACTTGTAAAATGGGCACCCATTTACATTTGATTAATAATTACCTAAGTGTAGTTACAGGATGAGAGCTGTGCTCCTGGTGTCCCGTCTTCCCAGTACAGTACTCTGTCGTGTAACGCTTTGGCACCACAGTGCTGCGAGCAACAGAGATTCTCTGTTTACAAAGTATAGCATCTATAATACTACAGTTGAAATTTGTTAAACCAGATATTTGAGAACAAATACGCAGTTGAAATTACAAATTCTTCAAATGCAATAAGATCCATGAAATGTACATAAATAAATCTTCGGAATTACATTGAAGGATGTTATTTTACATTCTGTAATATTTTAAGGATAAATCTAATGAATAATTAAATAAAAACCTTATTTTGAGCAAATGTCATTCTGCTCGGAACCACTGTTTTGTTCGAGGGTGTTATATATATATATATATATATATATATATATATATATATATATATATATATATATATATATATATATATATATATATATATATATATATATATATGTCGTACCTAGTAGCCAGAACTCACTTCTATGCCTACTATGCAAGGCCCGATTTGCCTAATAAGCCAAGTTTTCATGATTTAATTGTTTTTCGACTACCTAACCTACCTAACCTAACCTAACCTAACTTTCTCTGCTACCTAACCTAACCTAACCTATAGAGATAGGTTAGGTTAGGTAGGGTTGGTTAGGTTCGGTCATATATCTACGTTAATTTTAACTCCAATAAAAAAAAATTCACCTCATTCGTAATGAAATGGGTAGCTTTATCATTTCATAAGAAAAAAATTAGAGAAAATATATTAATTCAGGAAAACTTTGCTTATTAGGCAAATCGGGCCTTGCATAGTAGGCATAGAAGTGAGTTCTGGCTACTAGGTACGACATATATATATATATTATATATATATATATATATATATATATATATATATATATATATATATATATATATATATATATATATATATATATATATATATATATATATATATATATATATATATATATATATATATATATATATATATATATATATATATATATATATATATATATATATATATATATATATATATATATATATATATATAAATAAATAAAATTTGTGTTGATTATACAGTATGTGGTAGTGTTTCAGTATTTGACATAATTGCAAGTGTGTTTTGGTACTTTTTTTTTTTTTTAATTCCACTTGAAGTGCAGAAACAGTCAACCCATTCATGGGTTTGAATTCATTGCCATAGATAAGTGTACAATGTACAAAATGAGACTGTATAGGGTCTTGTGGCACAGTAGTAAGCTCATTAGGGTCACATCCGGAAGGTCCCAGGGTCAATTCCTACATCAAGCTTCCTGTCCTCGACTAAGAGAAACCATAAGGTGAACCATATAAATTGTTACACGGTGCACACTGCACTGTTGGGCTGCATTGAGGGTATTGTACTATACAACCCACTTGTGCAGTGGATAACTATGCCCTTGAGTCTTCTCCCACTAGAAGATTTGCTGCTCCATTTCGCTGGAGTGAAGCTAAGGTCAGGTGGACCCTGATCATAGCCGTTACCTCCGGACCACCCATACGGACTTGTACAGTATATTGGATACTGGCTCTGCATCTCGGAGCTTTGACTATGCTGACCCATAATCACCCTATATAACTTCTCACTCCCCATATTGTCTTTTTATATATTTTTTTTTGCAGTGCTAACCAGCATACATTTTTTGTCAGCAAACATACAGTTGAAGATTTGTTCCACTACATGTAGAATACTGGGTTATTGAGCACTCTACAGTGTGGTTAAAGTGCTTTTTCAAAGACCTGGTAGTACAGTCTGATATTAAGAACCCTGGAATTCTGGATTCATTTACAGGGTGAGACAGATATGGGCACATTCCCTATCTTTTTTTTTTATTATTTATTTATATTTACAGGAGTTCTTACATTCTTGTAAAGCCACCTAGTCAATCCTCCCCGGCCAGAATATGAACCCAGGCCAAATCACTTACGGGGCAAGTGTCTTACCACTATGATATGGGGACTGCTAAATCACCTAATACTTGTTCATACCACCTTGGTGTATTGCATTTCTCACACCGCATTTTATTCGCTCACTCCTGTCACTCATATACTACATCTCTCATATAGTACTTTCTCACTGTATAAATCAACTAATCCCTCAGAAACAAGCTGTTATTCTTAAAAAAAAAAAATAAAAAAAAATTACCACTGCTAGTACTCTTAGCATTCTCCCCTTTTTCCAGACCCAAATTTAATTTCCCTAAATCATGGCTGGAGTCTTGATCATTTCCTGCCCAGGCATTCATACTTTTCTTCTTGGGGAAAAACCCTTGATAAATGAGGCCATAATCCAACAAGGTTAAAGATTTAGGCCTACGTTTGTCGGAATTCATGCTATTGTTTAGGAATCGGATTTAAGTATTTCCGAGAGTTTATATTGCCTAATGATGTACAGTATTTAGGTAATGCAAACTCAATTTGCCAAATGTAAGCTGTCAGCAAAATTATTCACACACCCAGTGAATTTTATTATTATTACAAAATGATGAAAGAATTTAGAGAACAATAATAGATATTTAAAAAATACTGTATGTAATTATTTAATTTAAAAATTTGCGACTGTAAATAGTTACTCAAATATCCTCAGTTTGCTAATTAACTGTAGGCAATGCATGCATTTGATTGTAACTTTTCCAACACTGCCCAAGGTGCACGATAGACAAATTCATATTGTATGTAATTGGCTCGACTAACAAATTCACCCTCTGTGTTAGGACCTCTTGAGGTCACAGTCATGTTACTTTGATATACAGTACTGTACTATAAAGACCGGGCAGGTGATTTTTATGTTAAATTTTTGTAACTAGCTCATCAGTACTGTAACTTGCTGTAACGAATTATATGGTTCAGTTTCTGAAGCTATTATAGTAACATAGACTAAGCCTAGTGGTAGTAATGTCTAGAAGTCTCTAACCCTTTTGGATGACCCATAGATATGTGGCTCTTCCTGTATAGTAATATACATGATAGAAGAATAACAAGAATTTTGCTTTGTCTCAGACCTATTCAATTTAGTTGGAGTTCTCTGTAATTACTACCAGGGGCCGGATTACTACTTAGAGGCCCTAACCACTGGAAAGATTATGGTACTTTTTATATACCAGTACTATATACTGTACCGAGAATATATACAGTACTGTATATAGAATTTTATGTAATTCAAAATAAAAACAATAGTAAACCATAAAATATTGTATATTCAAATGAATAAATATAATTATTTATATGAAAAAATCGCCTATTATTTAATTGCTTTCTTGCTCTGAAGATGCCCTATAATATAATTATATTTTTTTCATTTATTATAGGGTCGTCATTTTATGGGGCATGGTTAAATAAATATCTTTCTTGAAGTTGCTTTATCTAATGCAGGTGCAATTTTAAGTTCAAGTGAAATTATATTAATGAACGAAAATGTCTGCTTGTCTGAAGTTGGATGCTACACATCACCCAATTCTCACACATGGAACATGTAGGTATGAGAGTCGCAGGCCAGTCGGGGTCGGTCCCAGTGTCACATTTTAAGAAATGTTAACATCTAACAACACCCCCGTATGTGATTTTCATGAAGTCTGAAATAGAGATTCTGTTTACACAAAGTTACTTAGTAGTTTCAGGGCTTCGAAAAAATATATATTCTGTGGGAGGAAAGAATGAGGAAGGGGGGGATACATAGAGGGATAAGCGAGATATTAGGGAAAAAAAAAGAGAGCTGGACCCAGGTACTTCATGTAATACTGTACAGGTTTAGTGTAGTTCATTTATTATACACCCCATACCCATCTTGTGGGCGGTAGTGGAAAGGGTTAAAGAGGCACTCATAATGGGCTCAGGGACTGAACCCCACAATTCATTTAGCTAAGCAAGTTACAACTCGTACAGTACAGGTATTTCATATTTATTATTTGGGTGTACAGTACTGTAATTATCTAGACAAAAAGAATGATGAATATAAGCGTGTTAGTGGCTTTTGCAAGGATGTACAAATACCAATCATATGTAATCTCTCCAGCCCATTGTGCCTTTTTGTGAATAAATAATATAATAATAATTATCATTATTATTATTATTATTATATATGAGTTTATATGAACAGTCGCTCGCTACCTCTCGCATTCATTAAACAAATTTCTCTCACCACTCATCACATTCACAAGTGTATTTAGTCATTTTTATGATCTTTGATGATGTCATTTTCTCGAAATGTTGGAATTTTATTGCAAAGAGCTTTAAAAAAAACAGCGTATCATATGATCCATGCTTGAGATTTTATTTTGTATTTTAATTGAGTTGTGAAGGTGGCGGGGCTGTAAACACGCGGTGGGCTCCTCGCCGTCTCCAGCTGATCCTCGCCGCCTCACCCAGCTGCCTTTTAGCCTCACCCAGCTGCCCCTAGCCTCACCCAGCTGCAGATCTTAGACCTACGCAGCTGCTCCTAGCACCTCTTGTGATATAATGGGGTCCAAGAGGAAGAAGAAGGTAAGGGGGGGCTTGCTTGGTGCACTCGACCCATTAGCAGTATTCTCCTACCCCACATAACTATGCATTTATGTTGTCTATGTAATATTATTTACATACATATGTAAAATTATATGTATGTGTGTAAAAGATATTGAAATTAACCTCAAGAGCATTAATCCTCTTTATTGGTATATGTTGATTATATTGACCAGACCTCACACCAGAAGTTGAAGGGACGACGACGTTTCGGTCCGTCCTGGACCATTCTCAAGTTGATTGAGAATGGTCCAGAACGGACCGAAACGTCGTCGTCCCTTCAACTTCTAGTGTGTGGTCTGGTCAATATACTTCAGCCACGTTATTGTGACTCATTGCCTGCATGTTGATTATAGGCCTATGGATCACTGCACTATTTCGATACCGGCTCATGGTGTGTTGTGGTATATATTAATTAATTGTCGGGGGGACAGAAAGCTAGTGTGTAAGCATACACATTAGGATTTTAATCGAAGTTCCCCCCCCCCCTGAATTACTGACCTCGCCCATGACGTAACCCGACAACAAGCTGACTAACTCCTGAGTACCTACTCATCGTTATGTGAACGGAAGCATTAGGTGAAAGGAAATGTGCCCAACCATTTCTGTCCAGCCCGGGATTCGAACCCGGAATTCTTGGGGTCCCGGTAGACTGTACTACCGGGACTCTTGTTGATACAGGCCAGTCAAAGAGGTGCTGTTAATAGTGATGTTTTTATGAATAATCCTCGTTTACACAGAAAATTGTCAGTCTGAGCCACTTTAAATCCTAAATGCAAGTTTGACAAAAATATGTTTTTGGTAGTTTTATGTGATAAATGGGGGGGGGGGGAATCGGGCCTGGTCAACGGAGGCCTGGTCGACGACCAGGACGCGGGGACGCAAAGCCCTGGAAGCATCTCAAGATAACCTCAAGGGGGGAGGAGTCACTTTTGGGAAATTAGACTTAGAGTGGTTAACTCACAGGTGGCAGCCATGTAAACATTTCTGTAAGGAAATGTTGACATTTTTTAACAGGGATAAAGGAAACTGCAGCAGCATATTGGTACTTAGAAGGCAGTTCTTTATTTTTATTTTATATCCACTCCCATTCATGTAAATTCTTGGGTGCAATCAGTGATGCACCCAAGAATTTATTTTGGTAGGACAGATTAAAGGGAAAAAATAGACAAAAAGTGTTATTTCTATACGGTGAAAATACTCATTAAAATGTTTGCTGAAAATTCCACAAAAGCCAATTTTTTTCATTTTTGTAATTGTGGAAAATTATAAAACATTATAAAATTAGCCTAAACACACTGCAGCAACACAGACTAAATACTAGATAGATAAATACCCTCGTTACGGCCCTTGTGGATTTGTTGAAATACTAGATAGCTTTAAGAGGAGGAGGAGGCTGCTACCCTAACATAATAAGGTTGGTTGCGATTTACAACTAAATGTGATGAAAGCTTAGAATATGCAAACTTGTCATATTTTATAAATCTGAATCTGAATATAAATCTAAATCTGAATATAAATTTATCTGCCCAAAACGCTGCGCATACTAGTGGCTTTACTAGGTTGTAAATACTATGCTATGTATTCTCTCTAACCCAATGTACCTTCTTGTATATAAATAAATAAATAAATAAATAAAATGCCAAAGGCACTATAGGAATTTTTCTTAATGTTTAGGCCTAATATGTTAAGGAATAAATAATAATGAAACCAGTACAGCACAAAATTGTAGTTTTGGTTTTGTTGATCCCAACGCTCTTAAATAAATTCTTAAGGTGCTAGTAATTGGCTAATTGCTTAAAACTTGTTCAGTATAAAAAACTAACCACCACATCTGAGCCATAGACATTATGCCTAATCAACTCACACCGAGATGCTGTACCCACTATATTCTCCGAACCCCAAGCATACTCCCCCTTTGTACTGTGTGATGTATAATACAGGTATTATACATTTGATGTATAATATGCATTTTTGTTTGAAGTGCATGGAATGAAGGAGACAATATTACATGTTACCACATGGTGGATAGCATACAGTAGTTAAGTTACAAAGTGCTGTCAATAGATGGCTCTGAAAAGTCAAGTGCACAATTTAAAAAATTCTTATTTTCTTTTCTACTAATATAAAGCTAATGAATTACTGGTACACAGCTTTATAAAGCTTAAAAAATTTAAACTTTGACAATACTATATATAAACCAGGGATGTTAATGTTTTGTGAATACTATATTAAGAAAATATTAAAGTATAGTCCTGTACTGTTCAGCAATATCTAATATTACAGAATATATTAGATTTACAATTCACAATTGCCTCTGTATTAATGAGTGTAATCAACATAAAAGAATTCAGTATATACATATCCACTCAGTCACATTCATATGGTGGCAGCAGTACTGGCCACTTAGCACAACGGTCTCGCTTCATGCAGGTTGGCGTTTAATCCCCGGCCGTGCAAGTGCTTGGGCACCATTCCTTTCCAGTGTCCCATCCCAAATAATTATCCTACCCTCTTCCAAGTGCTGTATAGTCATAATGGGTTGGCGCTTTCCCCTGATAATTCCCTTCCTTTAGCACAGCGTCGGGAACATGGCTGGTCACTAAGAATGTTCGAAGTATTTTTCACTCCTTCCATATAATTTGCTTTTACAGTACAGTACTTCAGAATAAATAATACTGTATACTAAATTTTTATTTGTGTGCTAACAAATGTCTTGGTAAAATATAGCCACAGGGCAAGGGACACACCAAACGACCACCACATGCCATGCACTCACCCAGCCACCCCACACAGCCACCCCACACAGCCACCCCACACAGCCACCCCACACAGCCACCCCACACAGCCACCCCACACAGCCACCCCACACAGCCACCCCACACAGCCACCCCACACAGCCACCCCACACAGCCACCCATGCAGCCATCCACACAGCCACCCCACACAGCCACCCCACACAGCCACCTACACCTAATAACCACTTATGTGTCCACACAGTCCCCAAACTGCCGGTACATTACACAATTTATGCGCAGAGTGGAAGTGTCAGTTTTTATTTTTTAAGATTACAGAATTCATAATAATATTTGTTTTGTGAGATGTGTATACACAGCATTTGAATTAAGAACTATGAATACCTTCCTTGATTGACTGTGATTGGAACAAATAAGTTTACTGTTAACTAGTTTAATATGTTTGTGAATTATAGAAATTGATTTTGCTTTTCCACAAAAATAATCATGTAATATTAATTAAATTTAACAAATTTCAGGGAGAGTCGGGAGAGGTTAAAAAATACATAACGAGAAATGGTGCAGTCAGAAAGTTACAGCTTTCCCTTCGAGATTTCCGGCGGATATGTATTCTGAAGGGAATATATCCACGTGAACCTAAGAACAGGAAAAAGGTGCAGAAAGGAAACTCCCAAATTAAGACTCTCTACTATTTGAAGGACATTCAGTTTCTTCTTCATGAACCTATTATCTGGAAGTTCAGAGAGCACAGGGTAAGTGTGGCTATTGTTTTTATGACCAACTGGTGCAGTATATTTGTTTACAATATGGTCGATGTAAAAGAATACAAGATAGTAGTAGGCATCCAGGGAGCCGGTCGGCCGAGCGGACAGCACGCTGGACTTGTGATCCTGTGGTCCTGGGTTCGATCCCAGGCGCCGGCGAGAAACAATGGGCAGAGTTTCTTTCACCCTATGCCCCTGTTACCTAGCAGTAAAATAGGTACCTGGGTGTTAGTCAGCTGTCACGGGCTGCTTCCTGGGGGTGGAGGCCTGGTCGAGGACCGGGCTGCGGGACACTAAAAAAAGCCCCAAAATCATCTCAAGATAACCTCAAGATCCATCAGTCATAGAAGACTGTGGAGTTGCGCTCTGGTTGTCGGTCTCTGATTGTCGGTCAAATACACTACTGGTATTTGTATGTACTGCCATTTTCAACTTTTTTGGATTATTTGTGCTGTGGTAAATTTGGGTGATGCGCACACACATATGCAATAAATTAATAGTAAGCAACATTATTACCCCATTTTGATTAAATCTCCAACCCTAAAGTCTGTCTTTGTTAAAACAAAAAGTTAAGTATTTTCGTTGCAGAAGGTAAACATTTCAGTTTACTGGACACATTCGGTGCCTTGATGTGTGATCATTCAGCTATGTTGTGTATCTCAAACCTTGAATATTCAGAATGTACCAGTTTAGATTTGTTTATTTATGTTTATGTCGGTAAAATGATCACCCCCTTTTGGCAGTTTTATTAATGTTTTTGTCATTTGACAATATGGCATTACAGGTAATTTGTAAGATTTGGAAGATTACAAGAATTTTAGTTGTGTTTAATAAGTAAGGTTACTATTGCAGCACAATTAACAAAATTGTAATTTGTATATATACTGTACTCCAGAAAAAGTTATTCAGAATTTTGGTTATTATATATACAGTATGATTTAATATTTAGGAAACCTTACATGGAGAATAGCAGTTTCGTGTCAAGAAATTTGCAATTTCATGTCAGGCAATTCAAAGCAATATTTTTTTGGCTGCTTCCTAAGGTAAGACTTGTCTTTAGAGCAGGAATGTAGAAAGTCAGGCAGTGCCATTGTACTGCAGTGGCACTACAAGGAACTATTCAGACTTCCCCCATGTATTTAAACTGTTCAGTCACTTGCAGCTTTTCAGCATTCACATTTATTTCATACAAAACATTCTTATCTTTCCTTGTACAATAGTATGAGATGTGCAGACAACCAGAAAAATACATTCAGTTATGCCATCTGTTACAAGATTTGATTGCATTATAACATGTGTGACAATAGAACTGATAGCCTTTTATTTTTAATTAACATAATGTAATTATAGAACAGTGTTAAATATAATTTTGTTATGTGAGAAATAATTAGGGCCCGGAGAAAACCAAAATATTACAGTACTCACTTCCCATGAAATAAGTAGAAGTGTTGTCTCCTGCACTTAAGAATACTCCAACAGTTTGGTCATGTCAGGCTATGTATTACTTTTATCTCACTTATCATTACTTTTAAATTTTTTATCTGGTAATGTGGGTCATGACTTGTTTAATGTTCACACCAGTTATAAATTTCAGGCATTCATGAATAAAATACGCAAAGCGAAAGCTCGAAGAGATACTGAAAAGGCTGATAGGCTCCATGGGCAGAAGCCCATTTATAAATTGGATCACATTGTACAAGAACGTTACCCGACCTTTGTTGATGCCCTACGAGACTTGGATGATCCCCTCACCCTTTGCTTTCTCTTCTCAAAAATGGCAAGAACGCAGCGAACACATCAAAGTATAAATTAATTTCTTTTCTTGAAATTTATATCTGATCTTGTTACGTTAGTTATTAACTTATTTAGGCCAAGTTTTATCCATGTAAACAAGTGTTTAGGAACGCTTGTTCTGTACTGTATTAGATCCAAATGGAAATGAAATGTGTCAAAGTAATGCATAAGTAGTGTTACATGATCCCTTATGCAGTGATATGGACCTTGTAATAAATTACCTTTTTAAAGCTTATACCAGGAAATCTATCAGAACCTAACCAACCACAGATTAGAGAACTACTTAGATTCTGTGACAAATTTTCATAGTAAAGCTTGGAGTAAAGATATTGCTGATAGACAGAAGACTGGTAAAAGATGGTGCTGGTAGACAGAAAACTGGTAAAAGATAGTGCTGGTAGACAGAAAACTGGTAAAAGATAGTGCTGGTAGACAGAAAACTGGTAAAAGATAGTGCTGGTAGACAGAAAACTGGTAAAAGATAGTGCTGGTAGACAGAAAACTGGTAAAAGATAGTGCTGGTAGACAGAAAACTGGTAAAAGATAGTGCTGGTAGACAGAAAACTGGTAAAAGATAGTGCTGGCTTGAGTAATGTTGCAGTTTTTAGACAAAAGTCATCTCATTTTAATCATCACTTGAATTGAGAAAATATTGAAAACAGGGAATTCTTAGGGTTTTATTATAATAGCAAGTTTTTAAATGTAATAAATTGAGTCTAGAATTATATAATTAAAATGGAAGAGAGTAATCTATAATGAATGGTAAAAAGACATTGAAGAATTGTCTAGGATTGTATATTATCTTAAGTATATGTTGTTATTTGTATATGTCAGTCAAACTACTTGTATAAGACTTCACAGTAGGAGGCAGACCTCACTTAATGAATGAGATGCATTCTCTGAAAATGCTAGATAATCAAATGATTGACCAAACCACACACTTAGAAAGTGAAGGGACGATGACATTTCGGTCCGTCCTGGACCATTCACAATCGACTTGAGAATGGTCTAGGAAGGACCGAAACGTCGTCATCCCTTCACTTTCTAACTGTGGTGTGTGGTTTGGTCAATATATTTCAGCCACGTTATTGTGACTCCTCGTCGGCAATCAAATGATTGGTTGAGTAGTTAAGTGTCTTAGTGTCATTACATAGAATGATGTAACATCATAAACCAAACCTCTCCTTCTCTCTACCATAAATTCCCAAGTTTTATTCTGTAGCTTTGCAAAAATGTACCATTTACTAAAATCTTTGTACAAGTACTGTACTTGTCAATAGATAAATGAATAAATTATTAAATAAACATTTTGGGTACTGCAATTCGCAATTTATTTCACAAGTATGCAGCATTTGGATCTCGTTACTTATAGGATGTAGAGATTCAGCAAGAATCATAGAGTACTACCGATGCCAAAAATAACACTCGCGAGTGTGGGCTGAGGTAAACATGGGCAAGCAGACGTGTGTGCTCCGGCAAAATAACTAAAGGTTTTTTAATGGTGTAAATATTTATTACAGTGCTGTACATAAATAGATAAATTTAAGGTACATGTTAAGAGTAAATATTCATAGTACTGAATTAAGTATTTGTTAAGTGAGGTTTACTTTTACAGATATGCAAAAAATTATGAGCAAAGTAAAGCAGGAGTATATGGCACAGATTGCTCCATTGATTTTTGTGTAAAGCAATTTAAATATTTTGTACATCTTTAACCTGAGGCCACCACAAAGGGAAGGGTACCTGTTGAAGCTGGGCATTAAGGGAATAATAAATGAAAGGATTGAATGCTTTAAAACAGAAAACTTTTCTAACGCATTAATTTTTTTTTTTTTTTTTCAGGTGTGTCTGAAATGTGTCATAGGTTGACAATAGAGTTCATGCATTATGTTATTGAGGCCCATGCTCTGCGGAAGGTGTTCATCTCCATAAAAGGTTATTACTATCAAGTGGAAATAATGGGTCAAACAGTCACTTGGATTGCTCCACATCCATTCACTCCACAGGTAAGCACTTGTATTTAGATCTTGTAGAAAAGTGCCAAGGGAAGGTAATTTGCGAGAGGTTGTATATATGAGAAATAGTTATAATTTATATTTTTGTTAAGCACTTAATTTAGCAATAGTAGTAGTAATGCTGATAATTCCTAGCTCTGTTGGATGGCTGCAGATTTTATTCACCATCTGTTCATTTTTGTTTCCCATATTTTGGGACAGGAAACCCGTTAGACTTGTTGAGGTACTACTGGTTGAACTATTGACATTTCCCAGGACACATCCTATAACAATTGTCTAACACTTGGGTACCTATTTACTGCTAGGTGAATAGGTGCATCAGGCAAGAGAAAATGTTGTTCAGGCATTTCCATCCTTCCATGGAAATTGAGCCTTAGACATTTTGGTTGTGACCTGGCTGCCCTGACCTATGCACCTCTGGAGGTCATAAGGGTCTTGTCATGTTTATTGTTTTATTTTTCCTATGCAACAGGTTTCTGTACAATGACATGAGAATGCCTCATCATAGTAGTGTGGAGACCACCGAGATCTCCGTATGATCATAAAACAAAGTTATTCTTGGGCAGTGTAGCCCAATGGCAACTATTATTTTTATATAATTATTTAATAGGAAGCAGTAACCCCATAGTTTTTTTCAAGTGAGGATGTCTTCTGCCATTCCCTTTGAACCTCGACTAAACTCCTTCAAGATCTCTCTACATCTACACCCTCAAACATCTGTTGTACCATATATATGCTTAACCCTCCCACCATTCACCCTGTTCAGTTTACAATGGAGATTTGAGGAAATCAAAATGCAAGGAATAAATTTATCAAATGTTACAGTTTATATTTTATTAAAAATTTGAGAAACAAAGGCTGGTCACATAACAAGGCCAACAGCAGAACAAAAGATGAGTGAGATGATAGTAGCAGAACCAGCATAATGGCTATAAAAAAAAAGATTGTTCCCATAGAAAATGACAACACAGTTACTTATATTTGGTGACTAAAAACTATAAGATTGATTAATAATGAGAGGCCTCATGGAAGAAAAGACTGAAGAAGAGCAAACTTAATAGATAAAACTTGACTAACTTACATTAGGGCATTCTGTGAAAATCCAACACGGAAACGAAGGGGAGATCCAGCATTGTTAGACCTGGTGCCAGATTCACGAAGCAGTTACACAATTATTTACGAACGTGTTCATCTTTCCTCAATCATTAACAGCTTTGGTTACATTTATTAAACAGTTTACAAGCATGAAAACTTGACACATGAAAATGTCAAGTTTGAAAACGAAAGCATGAAATCAACCGTTGTTATTGTTATAAACGGTCTCCTGGTACTTCGGAGCTCATTAACTGTTTAATAATTATAAACAGAGCTGCCAAAGATTGAGAAAAGATGTACAGGTTCGTAAGTGCTTGCGTAACTGCTTTGTGAATTTGGCCCCCTGGTGTTCATAGAAAGACACACAAGAGATTGAATACAAGAACTTCTTATTGTTAATCACTGTGTAATACATTTTGCTATTAATGGAGTTACAGCAGAACAGAATGAAAAAGTGTTAAGAAAGAAACTTAAATATCACAACAAGAATTTTCTTAGGAATAAGGGATTTTATTGGAGAAGGGAAGTAGACTAATGAACTAAAGTTATCAAATGAGATCATGGAACACATTACCCTGAGATGCAGAGGGAATTCCAAGGTCGAAATCGTGCAAAGAGATTCTCGACAAAAGACCTAAATAATCCAAGGCACGTCAAGAGGTACCAAGAGGCTAAGAATAGGCACGCCTGAATGCATGTAAAAGATACAGTGAGTATAGTACAGAAAAGAATAGGAAAATGAACAGGTGACCTAAAAATTAATATACATTACTAGAATTAAGAGCACTTGAAACATTTTCCCTTTGAATTCCACATACTGGCTGGGCTTTCACATCAAGGAAAGCCTTCTCCACTGGCCCATACAAGAAACAAGAATTTTGGAGAAAGAATTAAGATGTGCTAGTAACAAGTGTATATAAATGGGGTGCAAATGAATAAGAGAGAGAAATATATGAGGTAAGAATAGCAAGATATTTTACAGAAGCATCGAGTGGCAAAATATGTCGGGAAAGTACTCTGTAGTAGATCATCAAGCAGTGGTGGTGCAGTGTGGATCTGAAAACTGGAAACCATCAATGTGTGGAAGTGTTAACTGGGTCAAATGTGCCCATTGTTGGGCTTCCATGGTTGGTCAAAGTCATCTGGTCTATTATCTACTTTATGCACTATTCTGTATTGCTATTTATGCAGTATGCTGTATCGTTACTTATGCTGTAATAATTGAAATGAGTTGATGCTGCAACTAATCACAAAATCTGTGTAGTATTTAATTATATATATTTCCTTCTTTTGTATACAGAATGCAACTCTAGTTGATCTTCGCATCATGAGAGTGTTTGTTGAATTCTACATAACACTGCTGGGTTTTGTTAATTTCCGACTGTATCATAGTTTGAACCTCCACTACCCTCCCAAGCTTCGGGACATGGTGAAAAGTAAGCTCTTTAAGTATAGATGCGTATTTTTTATGTTTGTTATAAAAAGTTGCTATCACAGTAGTATGTGTAGCCATAAAATGCATGGAAAAGAAATCATATTCTGTCTTGGTCCTTTGGTTTGCTTTTCAGTTTTGATTGGCCACTCGTGAGCTCCCAGTTCTGATAGTTTGCTCTCTTGCTTTCTCTCATTCTTACTTTCCTGTTTTGTCTTGGTTTCATATTTTCTTTTTTCCCCTCTCTAGCTTTCTCTCTCTAGCTTTCTCTCTCACTCCAACTTTCTTTTTCCCATACACATCTCCCCACATTCCAACCAACCCCACACCCCTCCCCCACTACCCACACTCGTGAAAACAACAAAAATCACACATTTGAATTGGTATGTCACAAACTTTTACAACCATTCAAATGACAGTATATTACTCTTTATAGTCTACTGCTCTGCTAATTTGTTTCTCCATCAGCAAAAATCTGATGGCTCAGAGTGTAGAGAAAAAGGTCAAAATATAACATTGAGACATGACTACTTAAAAGACATGGACCCTGATCTCTATTTTAGTATATCATATCATATCATATCTGGATAGGGTTCTGGGAGTTTTTCTTCTCCCCAAGTGCGGCTTAGAGTCAGGGTTTGACCCGTGAGAAATAAGAAGATTGGCAACACTATGGGGGATTCTGTTGACCAAACCACACACTAGAAATTGAAGAGACGATGACGTTTCGGTCTGTCCTGGACTATTATCAAGTCGATTGTGAAGAAACGAGTAAAGCACGGGCATAAGTGAGGCAAGAAAGAGGTGAGGAGGAGGATATCTTGGAGGAAGGTAAAGGTCGTTGTCTCTTCAATTTCTAGTGTGTGGTTTGGTCAACATTCTTCAGCCATGTTATTGTGACTCGTCATCCGCTTGTGGGGGATTCTCATTCTTCAGTTCACATTTGAATGTGAACTTTATCTTTGTATTGACTTTAGAGGATGGAGATGTAACGTTTCAGCAATTGTTATTCTTCTATAAGTTTCTTGTTTATAGAAACACCAAGATTGATATTTATTTTAAAATTATATTTTGCCCATAAGGGCTTTATTTACATCTCGCAGGCAAAAACATCTACAAGTATACTGTGATCTACTCTCATCTTGGGGTTTCTATATATTGTTGTTGGCACCCTCTTCTCTCCAAAATTAATAACATTTTACAAAGTACTTGTGATCATTTACAGACTGCTGGTCTAGCTATCATATAAGTAAGGCACTTTCTACTTGGTTATACTGTATGAGGAGCTAGAATGTGTCAATATATACCAAATACTTTATCAACAGAGGCTTAATAAAAAAGATTCACCCTTTTCTGCTTTTATCTTCATAACTACATTTCTTTCTTATTGAAATAAGCTGTTTATCTTAAATTAAGATTTTAAACCAGTTTCTCATTCAGAAGCTTATATTTATTCCTTGGGAGAAGATATATCCCACACACTTATTCTTATGTTCATATTGAATTATGATCTAGTTTACCTCTTAAGAGACTGCAGTAAAATATACATCTTATGCCATGTAGCATTAAAGAGATTAATTGTTTTAGGTGAAGTGGAGGAGGGAGAATATGGAATATCTGATCAAGTAGCATCATTGAATGCACCCCTGTTAAGAAACAAGGTAGAAGACAATGATGAGGATGAGGATGGCATTGACACTCACCTTCTGGTAAGTTTTCATGCTTCTTCCCTTCTCACTGGACATCGTTTGTAATCTTTCACTAATATAATTTACTCTCCCAATGCTCTCTCCGTGTTTTTCTTCTATTCAGTGTTAAAAGGTAAGTTGACTCCTCACTCGCCGTTTTGTTTGTTTTTGTAATTACTTTTAAAACTAGTCCAAAATAAGTTAGCATGTCTTTGGTAGGCTTTTCCTGCTGCCTTCCTTGTTTGAAGCTTTGTATAGACCAGTAGTATAGGTCTTTATCCTGTTCTGGAAATGCACAAATCTTTGCACACCTGTGCAAAGGACAGATCACCAACTTCCTTCCATGTCATGGGAAAGCAGAAAATTGTATTTACAACAGTACAGTAATCCCCACCCTTCATCGCCTTAGTTTCATACATTGTGTTGAATGAATAAGTAAATTTTTGTACATATACCTTACGAAAAAAAATGGTGCTTAAGTATGTACAGTATACCTATATTGCATGCAGATTTCTTCCTGGTATATTTCAAATGAAGTGTCTTGCAACCCACGCCTTTGTTGCTATTTTGTGTGATAATGTTGTCCAGTAATATATCCAAACATTGGCAGGAAACACTAAAATGGTATTTTATGATAATTGTAGGCCACTAGTACACAATAATCTCATCGCATAGGAATCAATTAAAAATGATGCAAGAAGTTTTTCTTGTTCCTTGGTTAACTCTATTACATCTATATGGATGTATTATACCCCATATTTATATAATTTGTATAGAAATTGGGTGTTAATAACTAAATTCAGCAAATGATGATAACTGGATTAGCACAGGGATCAACACATGTTTTAGATTCAGCTACTCGAAATAAAAAGTTCCAAGTAGCACAGGCTATGGTGAGCCCGTAATGGACTTAACTGGCACAGGAGCGGGGCAAGTAGCACTGGATGTGGTGAGCCTGTAGTGGACTTAACTGGCACTGGCTATAGTGAGCCCGTAGTGAACTTTACCTGGCACAGGAGCGGGACAAGTAGTATGGGCTATGGTGAGCCCGTAGTGGATTTACCTGGCACAGGAGCGGTGCAAGTAGCACGGGCTATGGTGAGCCCGTAGTGGACTTACCTGGCACAGGAGCGGTGCAAGTAGCACGGGCTATGGTGACCCCGTAGTGGACTTACCTGGCACAGGAGCGGGGCAAGTAGCACGGGCTATGGTGAGCCCGTAGTGGACTTACCTGGCACAGGAGCGGGGCTGTTTGTTGTATGGATCAGCACATAACTGACTTCAAAGGATTAATTATCTGAGGCAATAAATTGGTTAATTTTCAAAGCCTCTGAAATAGGTGGATATTTAAATCATTATTTGTTTTCTTATTAAAAAGAGTACTTTTTAGTTTTTATCATTTTTTTTTTATAATTTGCTTTCTCTAAGCACAATATCTATTGCTTTATTTGAAGTATACCATGTAGTGTCTGGCAGGAGGGATTTACTGAAGTTTCACTATAGGATCTGTTTCAAACTGTGTCTGCAAGGTCAGATATTGTGCTGAAGAGCCATTGGATGAATTAATGAAAGTGAAAGCAAGAACAGTCTTGAAAGGCTTGTAAATCATGCACTCAAATCCCTAAAATGCTTTTCTTGGCATCATCAGATTATCACATATGGTTGGCTATCAATTTCCCAACCTTTCTGTTTGCTCTTGCCAGCACATAGCAACGCCTTGTCTAGTCACAACATACTACCACTCATGAGAGATGAGCGTCAAGAAGCGGAGATAAATAAATCTTATTACAAGAGAGAATAATGCAAGATGATAATGAGCATTGTACAAGATTCTACATTGTACAGGATATATTCTTTTCTGAGTGAGATATAACAGAATGAGACAGTACGGGTAAAGTTACAAAAAAAAAAAAATAAGCCAGAGCTGCAAGAAAATATTTGTGTATAGTGAAAGTGGTATGAATTAAGTTGTGGCTGAAGTCAAGTTATTTGACTTCAGCAGCCGTGCCTAAGGCCAAGCTTTTTTGGTTACAACTGACTGGTAAGGCTGATGCTGCATTTCCTGCAGGAACCTGTCTAATTACCTGAAAATCTCAATGGCATGAGCAAAATTTGTGTCTTACATATTTGTGTTTTTATTATTTTTACATATCAAATGTAAAAAATTGCCATTATTAGTATTCTTACATTTACAATTTTAACATTTTGTTTAGCTTGTTGTAATATATTCACTGCCACCAATCACATAGGTAAATGAAAGATTGCCTGTTGACCAAACCACACACTAGAAAGTGAAGGGATGACGACGTTTTGGTCCATCCTGGACCATTCTCTAGTCGATTGTGACACAATCAATCTGAGAATGGTCCAGGACAGACCAAAACGTCGTCGTCCCTTTACTTTCTAGTGTGTGGTTTGGTCAACATATTTCTACTACGTTGTTGTAACTCCTCGTCCGAGAGATAGCCTGTTACTGTACATTATAACTTTCTTCCTGCAGGAGGATGATGATAATCAGATGCAAGCAGCACAAGAGGAAGAGTTGAAGAGGAAACAACAACAGTCTCTTTTCAAGAACTTTAAGTTCTTCTTAAACCGTGAAACAAACATAGAGTCTCTTACCTTTGTCATCAGAGCCTGTCAAGGAGAGGTTTGTTCATACCGATTATTACTTATTGTCATTTTGTGCGGTTGGCCAATTGACTTTGGTCACCCATGACATCACTACTGTTGGTTATGTAGTGTGGGTACTGTACATCATTATTGTGGGGCATGTAGTGTGGGTACTGGACATTACTATTGTGGGACATGCAATGTGGGTATTGGACATTACTATTGTGGGGGCATGTAGTGTGGGTACTGGACATCACTATTGTGGGGGCATTTAGTGGGTACTGGACATCACTATTGTGGGGGCATTTAGTGGGTACTGGACATCACTATTGTGGGGGCATGTAGTGTGGGTACTGGACATCACTATTGTGGGGGCATGTAGTGTGGGTACTGGACATCACTATTGTGGGGGCATGTAGTGTGGGTACTGGACATCACTATTGTGGGGGCATGTAGTGTGGGTACTGGACATCACTATTGTGGGGGCATTTAGTGGGTACTGGACATCACTATTGTGGGGGCATGTAGTGTGGGTACTGGACATCACTATTGTGGGGGCATGTAGTGTGGGTACTGGACATCACTATTGTGGGGGCATTTAGTGGGTGCTGGACATCACTATTATGGGGCATTTAGTGGGTACTGGACATCACTATTGTGGGGGCATGTAGTGTGGGTACTGGACATCACTATTGTGGGGCATTTAGTGGGTACTGGACATCACTATTGTGGGGGCATGTAGTGTGGGTACTGGACATCACTATTGTGGGGGCATTTAGTGGGTACTGGACATCACTATTGTGGGACATGTAGTGTGACTACTTTAGATATGTCATATCTTTCCTTACATCATTTTGAGGTCTATTATGCCACAGTTCCATTTCTTCAGTGTTTTGCCGTCATTTTCCTAAGGTTGTTTCTGGGTGTCTCTTCTCTGAAGGAAATTAGAAGGTCAAAAAGGGGGGGGGGGGGGGCTTTTGTGATACTGGTATTTCTGGTCCCTCATGCATTTCCTTCTTCCTTTCTGTTCTGATTTAGTGGCTAAGTTTCTCAATTTGTGTTTGACTATTTTGCTTTCTGGCTGTAACATTGGTGCTTTGTTTGGGGTGAGTCTACAGTCTGAATTTGTATTTAAATTTTTATCTCAGAATTGTTCTGCTTTCTTGCAAGTAAGAAACTGGCCATATTTTGGTAAGCCATTCGTTCTGCTCTATTTCCTTTTGGTTATGGTCACTGGTATGTAGTTCGCTCAGATACCAAATAAAGGAACCTTGCTCAGGAATAAGGCATTAAGAAGATTAATATGCCCATTTGTGTAATTACCCAAGTGTAGTTACAGGATGAGAGCTATGCTCGTAGTGTCCCGTCTTCCCGTGTGTGTGTGTTTAATTACCTAAGTGTAGTTACAGGATGAGAGCTACGCTTGTGTCCCGTCTTCCCAATACTCTGTCGTATAATGCTTTGAAACTACTGACGGTTTTGGGCATGAAGAGTGTGTGTGTGTGTGTGTGTGTGTGTGTGGCTCTTGTGTTGCTCCCATTTCTGCCATTTTGGTTCTAGCTTTTTCAGGCATGTTTGGGTGTTCTGATCTTTAAGTGTGGATTGTTGGTTCCTTCGCCTCTGTAGTGGTAATCTGACTGCCAAGTCAGGTAGTTAATAGAGCAGTAATTGACTTTCTTTATTTTTCCATGGATTGCTTGGAGATGGTGATGAGAAGTGTATGCTGATCTTTTGTGTCATAGCGAGTGGTTTCTATTGTGTGGTGGGGTTGAGTTTTCACTACTGTTTGAAACGTTCCACATCATGGTGATTCACTGATTAACTATATTTTGGCATGTGGATGGTTTGAGAAACAAGCAATGAATTGACCAGAAAGCTGCATTTCAGTCCTCTCCATTCCCTATTTTTTTTCCTCAAAATCTGTAGCTTAACTCTGCAATTCCCTATTTTCACTTGCATTTCATGATTTGCCACAGCTATTAATGCTGGTACTTCCTCATTCATTACTTAAATAATATACCTAAAATTTCTCCATGACAGGTTTCCTGGGAAGAGAGTTTAACAGATGGAAGCACATACCCTGTGACAGATGAGTCAATTACACATCAAATTGTTGATAGACCACACATTGAACGGAAGTATTTGTCAAGGTAATTTAGATGTTTTATTGAATGTATTCAGGTAATAAAGGTTCTCTGCACATTCTTAAGGTCAACAACTTCCCCAGCCTTGAATGGTGCAGTAAATTTAAAAAAAATTATCCATTCTAGATAGTACTTTTTAACCACTTTGACTGAAAAGTGGAGCAACAGTCTTGCTTTTCACAGACTGACGTTCAATCCCTGATTGTCCAAGTGGTTGGGTACCATTCTTTTCCTTTGTCCTATCCAAATCCTTATTCTCATATCTCTTCCAAGTGCTATATAATTATAATGGCTTTGTACTTTCTCCTGATAATTACCTTGTGTACTTAAAATATATGCATTTGTTTGAAAAGTTCGTGATATCCAGCCTTTGATTTTTCAGTTATTTTAATGTATGGTTTAAAGTTAAGCCTTGTGAGGGGAGTATGGTCATGCTGCCTATGGACCACTTCAAAATGCAGAGGGGCACAGAGTGACATCCGAGATGTGGGTCGAGGTTATAATTCATGAAAATATCCATTTGGGAGATGCTGTAATGCAAAAATAAAAGGTTATCTCAAAAGTGTATAAAAAATACCCAAGGAACCTACATTAGCTTGAACCAAATGAGTCTCGTTTTTGTAATTTTTGTAAAGGACATGGTTGTTACACCAGATTTGCAGTTATGTTTATGATTTACGAAAATCAAATGTACTTCCATTTCGGTATTGGTTTAAGTGCGAGTTAGTGTAGTATTTATGTAGTAGTTTTATTTAAATCTAATAAATTTGTTTTTCTCAGGTATTACATTCAGCCACAGTGGGTGTATGACTGCATCAATGCCCGTATTCTCCTCCCAGTTCAAGATTACTTCCCTGGGGTAACTCTTCCTGCCCATCTCTCGCCCTTCGACATAGAGAAAGAGTTGTATGTTCCACCCGAAAAAGAGCAACTCTTGGCTCGACAAAAAGGAGATTTGCCTCTTGAGCAGCCCCTTACAATGGAGGACAGTGACGATGAAGACAGCGAGGAGGACGTTAAAGAAAGCGAGGCAGTAGTATTGAAGCCAGTGAAAAGTAAACCCATTAAAGGTATGTTGATGCAAATTAATGTAATCGTTGGGTATAATTAGATTTTATATGGCTTCTTTAATAAATATATGCTCTCCATATACAGTACCGGTCCCGGGTTTGATCCCGGGCGCCGGCGAGAAACAATGGGCAGAGTTTCTTTCACCCTATGCCCTTGTTACCTAGCAGGGACACTAAGCCCCGGAAGCACCTCAAGGTAGCAGTAAAATAGGTACCTGGGTGTTAGTCAGCTGTCACTGGCTGCTTCCTGGGGGTGGAGGCCTGGTCGAGGACCGGGCCGCGGGGACACTAAAGCCCCGAAATCATCTCAAGATAACCTGTACCTCATTTTAAGTCATCAGTTTTGATTGTATATAAATTCATAGATGTAAAAGTGCATGTATAACTGAACATTTTAGAACTGAATATACATGTTCAAGCTGTTGACTTTTACACAATTAATAACCAAATTATTTTAGCTCATAAATATTTTATATTTATTATTTCATCTGTTTTTGCATGTTAATTTTTAATAAATGCTGACAATTTAAGGAGTGAATTATCAACCGTTACCTCATTACTGATCAATGGTCAGTTAGTGGACAATATTCAAATATTGTATATTTTTACCAAAATTTAGTAGCTATCAATATCTTTAATTGTTATGTTATTTGCATATTGGTTAACTATTAATAAAGAATGGGAGTTTTGATTATGAAATATCAAGACAAAACTGGCCAAGAAGCTCCATAACTCACTTAAAAAAAACAGGCTTACCATAAATAAGTGCACAATGTAATAGTTTTATACGAGTCTGTAAATTTGAATGTTTATTAAACATACATTTCCATGTTTTTTTTTTTTTTTTTTTTTTGTATATATAAATATGAATGTCTTAATCCCATTAAATAGGTTCGTAAACAGATTATGACTATAAACGTTTAAAGTATTGCTGAGCAAATGACCATAGGGTGTGATTCACTTTGATATAAAAAGGGCACCACCTTAGAATGTAAAAGTATTAACACGCAAAAGAAATCTAAAATTTGATCGTTGTTTGTCCACTAGATGACAGTCGATCAGTAATGATGTAGACAAAGGATGACTTGTCTTCCAAGTCTGGCACGGACGATTTGCTCTTTAATCATTTATTTAAAGTTAAATAACATGTTGAGAACATGTAATAAGGAATAGATTATAAATATTTATGGGTTAAAATTAAACAAATTAATAATCCTTGTCCAATTTACAATCATCTACACTGCCCTTGGTTAACGCCAACATCAATATTCTCGTTTTAAACGTTCAGGTATACAGTGTGTACATTTTGTTTACATGCTTTGGTATGCAATCAATTGATGCAGAAAATTCAAGTGGATTATATTGTATACCACAATGTAATTACCCGGATTTGGTTTCCCATTGTCAGGGACAGGAAGCACATCTTAGGGTTATTCAGGGGTCCCTAGCCCAACTATTGGTTCATGATATTTTTATGCATATTAATGTAATCAATGAGTTTGATATTTGGTCATGATTTTATTTCCAGAAGTTGGAATATAAAATATTTGGGTTTATAACCCTTTTCTGTGTTAACATTTGATCTTGATTAGTTTGGGTTTTATAAACTTGAATAATATCTTTCCTGTTTTGTACTGCATCTCTAATAAGAAAATGGATTGCTCATGCCATCAGGATTCCTTAAAAATTTATCTTTTTTTTTTTTTTTTTTTTTTTAATAAAAACCCATCCTTGAGTCTCCATTTCATGCCAGAAAAATGGCCCAAATATACCAGCTCAGCCACTTTCCCAATTAATTTTATGTATTTTTGGTGGAAAAATAATCCAAATTCATTCATGCCTTTAATTTATGTTTTAATCATTTTCTATGTGTATAATTTTGTATTCATTTTTTAAGATTAAATTTCCTTGAACTTCTCAGTAGTTTTAGATTGTGAAAAGAAGAAACTTCAGCTAAATATTTGTTCTTGATATACAGTATTTTAAATGCTGATTGACATGTAAATTGACATTTATTGAGTTTATTTGAAATTTATGATGCTATGCACAGAGAAGTGTTTTATATAAAAGTGGACAGCTCCTCCTTTATGCACTGGAGGGTTAGGTGTTGGCAACAAGTGTAGTTGAACAAATCCACAAGGGCCGTGATGAGGATTTTAACCTGCGTCCGGGAGCATCCCAGACACTGCCTTAATCGACTGAGCTACGACAGGGTTAAAAAAGAGTTGAAACCGTTTATAACCCTGTCGTAGCTCAGTTGATTAAGGGAGTGTCTTGGGATGCTCCCGGACGCAGGTTCGAATCCTGGTCACGGCCCTTGTGGATTTGTTCATTTGATGCATCACGTTAGTGTGATTTCTGTGTGTAACAAGTGTAGATTTTTTCAGTCATAGGGTTAATACTGTGTATTTACTTTTATAGAAAAAGATTAGTAAGATGTCTGATTCATACTATTTTCAGGTAAAAAGGATAATGCAAAACAAAAAGAGAAGGTTGATGCAAAATCAGAAGAGAAGGATGAATCAAAATCAGAAGAGAAGGATGATGGAAAACCAGACGAGAAGGATGCTGCAAACTCAGAAGAGAAGGATGCTGCAAACTCAGAAGAGAAGGATGGTGTTAAGGAAGTGAAAGAAACCGCAACGACAGAATTGCCTCGTCGTCGAAAGAAAATGGCCGTGCGCCCTGGTTACCCAGCAACCGTTAAAAAAGCTGTTGTAGAGAAGCAGGAAAAAGAGGAGAAAAGGTTAGCAGTCATGATGATTCCAAGAAAACAAAAGAAAATGTATCACATCCTTAGAAGGAAAGAACAGAGGCAGGCTGCAAAGGCTGCTCGACTGACCCAGAAGAGGAAAGTCATTGATGACCAAAATAAAGACAAGAAAACGAAAACAGTAGAGAAGGGTCATAAGAAATTAGCTAAATGATTTCTCTTGTGTACTCTACATCAGTGTTAATTTTTACATGAAAATATACCTTTAATTGACCATTACATAGCATCTTACTGTTAATAATTGAGTATATGGTATATACATTTACAATGTACTGTATGCAATGACATTCTATTTTAATAAACTATTGACAAAACAGTTTGTTTATATAATTTCTTAGTACTGTACTTTGTGTAATACTGTGTAATAACAGTTTATTTCACAGTGTACTTATACATATTTATATATATATATATATATATATATATATATATATATATATATATATATATATATATATATATATATATATATATATATATATATATATATATTAGTATATAAAATATATACATAGTATATATTTAACACACTACAATTAACTGGTCATAATCTTTACACCAAATTTGCAGAATCTTATTATGATTGAGTCGAGCACAAAAATTTGACAATAATGAAGAGAAACACCACGATGAAAGTAAACTATTTGTAGGTAACGTTTTGCTGTTAAAAACTTTTATCAAATCTAGTAGATGCACATGCTTATAAAGTAAACAATTAAGGAAGAATCATGTCAGAGAAATAAGTGTTAATTTATATTTTAACATAATTGAGAAAACTGCAGACAGACTGTTGGCCCTTTCAATACAGCCTCTATTTATGCCGGACCAAACTTGGTCATGTATGCCTCATGTCTAACTTATGCTTTAAACAATCCATATTTAATAACATGTCAATCATGTTACCCAGTAATCTGTTTCATAAATCAACACTCCATTTGTGAAGTGTGTTTCCGAATCTAAACTTTTGCAATTTGTCCCAATTGTTATGTCTTTTATTTTGTGTTTGTATATAAGTACATTAAGTTTTCTCAGTTTCTTCTAAGAGAGGTTGCTAATCTCCAGTATAAATTTTGTTATCCTTCCCTGTGCATTTTCTAAGTTTTTTGTTCTGTAATGTGTGTTATGAGCATGAAAGGATGGGCAGACGTGGTGAGTGAATGTGTGAGGAAGTAGGGATCAGTTGTGAACAATACACAGGATATGGTAAGTGACATTAGTATGTGGATGCTGTTTACAAGAAAGTTTCATTCGTATGAGGCCTTATTCTACAAACTTGTCGCTGACTTATACCTTGCAAAATACTGGAGAGAACAATCGGAAACAGAAGAGGGGACCGTCTAGAGAGAACTAATATTGTACATGGCGGAGCATGGTTTTATAAAGAGAGAGTAGTGTCATTGGGACCTATTAGATTTCTACAACCAGGTTGCCAAGATTCAGCGGGATAAAGAAAGACGAGTGGACTTCATCTTCCTATCCATCTTGCTTAAGTAACTGCTATTTTATCATGGTGGTGGGATTTGAGTACTGTACAGTACTTTGTTTGAATGCAACAAGTGCTGTTAGTGGGTTCTTTTGAACTTTAGGTAGGCTGGGGAAGCAGGACCATATTGTTCTGTGGCCAGGAGCAATCGGCTTACTTCCCTTCTAGTTCCCTGATACAGGGAAATAGTTTCCATGCCCTCGCCACCAAGACTAAAGTTCTTTTAATAGTCTACTAGTTACGGCTACTTCTGTACAAATACTGTTTTGAACAGAAATATATTTCTATACCTCAGACCAAGAACTATTAGATGAATATAATTTTCATCAATTCTGCCCTACTGATTTTGGTGTTGCCACCCCAGTGCAATAGGCACACTCATGCTTATTGCAGACAATCATTAATCAGATAAGAGCAAAATTTTGACACACGATCACCTTGTCACATATTGTACTTACTGTAACATATGATTCAAAATTAAATTTACGGTAATACTGATGAATTAAGTTCATTGGTTTAGCGAGTATCAATAGTTATAAATGACAAGATGACCTGGACAGACTGAATGGTCCAACAAATGGCTGCTGGAATTTAACTCAAGTAAATGTAAAGTAATGAAGCTAGGTGGAGGTAGTAGGAGACCAGATGCATGATACCAAAGGGAGATGAAATCTTCTAAGAAACAGACAGGGAGAAGAACCTGGGAGTTGATATCACACTGAACCTGTCCCCTGAAGCCCACATAAAAAGGATATCATCATCAGCACATGCAAGGCTGACTAACATCAGAACTACCTTTTAGAAATTTGTGTAAGATAAAATTTTGAACCTTGTATACCGCATGTCAGGTCAGTCCTGGAATATGTGGCCTCAGTATGGAGTCCAATTCACGTCAAATTTGAGACGGAAGTTGGAAAAGATTCAAAGGTCTGCCACTAGACTAGTTCCAGAACTATGGGGTATGAGTTACAAGGAAAGGCTGTGTGTATTGCACCTCACGTTGCTGGAAGAACAGATAAGGGTGACATGATTACCACAAAATTCTAGGGGGGTATTGACGGTAGATAAAGACATTATTGAAATGCAGGTGGTACTCCCATAAGGTGACACAGGTAGAAACTGAGTACCCAAATGAGCCAGATAGGTTAGAAAGAATTTTGTCAGTGTCAGAGTATTAATAAATTGAATGCATTTGTAAGTGATGTGGTGGAGGCAGACTCAATACACAGTTTCAAATGTAGATATGATAAGAGCCAAATAGGCTCTGGAACCTGTACAACAATTAATTGACAGTTGAGAGGCGGGACCAAAGAGCCAAAGCTCAACTCCCACAAGCACAATTAAGTGAGTATGACAGTTGCCTAATTCCCAGGTACCTATTTACCTTTCCTACGAGCGCAATAGTGGAAAAGATTACAGACACACAATGGGCTTAGAAACTGATCTCCAAATTCAGTCATCGTAGAAAGATAATCTTGTTAAGGTAGTTACGTAGTCTAACATAATTCATTGTGTCGGGGGACAAGAAGCCAGGGTGTGTTCATACACGTTTGGCTTTTATCGAGGTCCCCCTCAAGGCCGAATTACTGACCCCGCCTAGGATGCAACCCCACAACAAGTTGACTAACTCCTGAGTACCTACTTATTGTTAGGTGAACAGAGCCACTAGGTGAAAGGAAATGTGCCTAACCATTTCTGTCCCGCCCGGGATTCGAACCCAGAATTCTCGATTGTACGTCGAGAACAAACCTGACTGTACTACCGGGACCCTTTTTTTTTGTTTTTTGTTTTTTGCTGTAATCCGACCTAGCTTATTCCTAATTATTGTCAGTAACTGAGCTGCCATCTCCAACTTGTTTGCAGTCACCTTTATTAGCTGCTTCCAGTTACCATTGCTCCCACCCCCAACCACTTGGGCTGGACGGTAGAGCGACGGTCTCGCTTCATGCAGGTCGGCGTTCAATCCCCGACTGTCCAGGTGGCTGCGAACCATTCCTTCTCGTCCCATCCTAAATCCCTAACCTGATCCCCTTGCAAGTGCTATATAGTCGTAATGGATTGGTGCTTTCTTCTGATAGTTCCCTTCCCCAGCTAGCGGTTGTTTTACCATCCTCGAGGACAGGTTGGATGCTTGCAGCTGTCCTATCATTCGCTTCTGCCGTCCCCCATACACCAGCTGCCTCCAGCCAGCCACGGCTGCCGTCCCCCATACACCAGCTGCCTCCAGCCAGTCACGGCTGCCGCCCCCCATACACCAGCTGCCCCTAACCAGCCGCGGCTGCCGCCCCCCATACACCAGCTGCCCCCAGCCAGTAACGGCTGCCGCCCCCCATACACCAGCTGCCCCCAGCCAGTCACGGCTTCCGTCCCTCATACACCAGCTGCCCCCAGCCAGTCACAGCTTCCGTCCCCCATACACAAGCTGCCTCCAGCCAGTCACGGCTGCCGCCCCCCATACACCAGCTGCCCCCAGCCAGTCACGGCTTCCGTCCCTCATACACCAGCTGCCCCCAGCCAGTCACAGCTTCCGTCCCTCATACACCAGCTGCCTCCAGCCAGTCACGGCTGCCGCCCCCCATACACAAGCTGCCCCCAGCCAGTCACGGCTGCCGCCCCCCATACACCAGCTGCCCCCAGCCAGTCACGGCTTCCGTCCCTCATACACCAGCTGCCCCCAGCCAGTCACAGCTTCCGTCCCCCATACACAAGCTGCCTCCAGCTAGCCACGGCTGCCGCCCCCCATACACAAGCTGCCTCACCTAACCAGCCACGGCTGCCCCCAATACAGCCAGTTAATAGTTGCTCTACCTCTCTTAACACCGCTACATATGGTCATTTGCCACGTCGGCAAGTTTCAAAACCTTCCTCAAGTTTTCTCTTAACAACTAAGTCCCCGCCGTCAAAACAGGAAGGTGTTGCTTGTGGGAGGGGCGAGTGTCCCCCCCCCCTTCTCCTTCTCTCCCACAACCATTCCCCCCCTCCCACGGTCTTGGCTCCCGGTCACCCCACACTCAGTCTTACTCCTCTTGTGTCGTAGTTGGTGAGTGCGGCGTTATATCTGTGGTTGTTGGGGAGCAGGAGCACCCCTGGAGGAGGAGACCCAGCAGGTGAGTGCTGGGGGCGAGGCAGGAGGCCCCCTTCACCCTCGGGGCACACACAGGGGGGCTAAAAAGGGGGTTTAGTATGGAGGAGACATCGGTCAGGTCGTGCCGTCACCCGTGCCAAGATACCTGTGCAGCTTACCTTTTAACTTGGCTCGTTGGCTCACGCTTATCTCGCCTTGTAAATTGTGTTATTTCTTGGTTGATCTACGACAATTGTATCTTGAAGCTCGGCAGGGCTGTTCTCGCGTGTTGACAGGCATAGGAAGTGTTTTGTATTTGTCAGGGAGGCCTGTAGTACAGTTGTCGAGAGAGCCCCAAAGGGACGGTTGTCAGGCAGTCCCATAGGGACGGTAGTCAGGCAGATCCAAAGGGGTAGTTGTCAGGCAGGTCCAAAGGGACAGTTGTCAGGCAGGCAGATAGGAATGGTTGTCAGGCAGGCCCAAAGGGGCAGTTGTCAGGCAAGCAGATAGGAATGGTTGTCAGGCAGGCCCAAAGGGGCAGTTGTCAGGCAGGCCAAAGGGGCGGTTGTCAGGGAGAGACTGGGGACAGTTGTTGAGGAGGCTCGGGGCGACAGTTGTCATGCAGGCTCAGGGGACAGTTGTCGGGGAGGCTCGGAGGACACTTGTCGGGAAGGCTCAGGGGACAGTTGTTGGGGAGGCTCAGGGGACAGTTGTCGGGGAGGTTCGGGGGACAGTTGTCGGAGAGGCTCGGGGTCAGTTGTCAAGGA